TTAAAATACTATTGACGCAGGGTTTCAGCTCCGTCCCTTCTTATCGCTGTATTTATTTTAAATTACATTCGGCTTTCTTCTTCGTTGGCAGTAAATAATAGCAGTTCGTACTTTCACCGTATAGAAAATGTCATCTGTAATCTAACCATATTTTTCGGATGGGTTTATGTCTCACAAAATACAGCGTAATAGATTTTTAAAACGTGTGGAATATATAGTTACCACTGGGCTTTAAAGAGTTAAATTCAAAGATTTCTTACCACTATGATGTTCGAATTTTTATCATTTTGTCTTCTTGGTTTTATGTTCCTGTCTATGTAGGCCCTTCGCCCGGCGTGGGAGCCTAAACGAAGAAACGTTGAGGGTGACGATGGAAAGAATTTGACGCAGGTCTAACAGGTGAAGCAGAGGACAGAGACAATTGTATAATAAGGTACTACATCATTTGTATACTCTACAAAATATTATTAAGAAGATTAATTCAAAGAGAATATAATGGATAGGATGTGTAGCATGAATAGGAGAGTTAAAAATGAAAATGAAAATGTTTAGCATGAAAGCGTGAAGGGCAAAGAACACTTGGGGAACTTAGATCTAGATGGGAGAATAATATTAAAATGTATTTTATAGCAGTAGGATGGGATCCAAATACGAGATGCGATCGGAAAGTTTCCAGACTGCGCCTATAAAAACCCGTACACTTATCTCAGGTATTAAATTCATCCATCACCCTCGACGTAGTTCCCCTGGGAGTGAACACGACGATCCCAGCGCCGCTGCCAAGCCTGGAAGCATCCCTGGAAATCTTTCTTTGTCAGCCTGTCAAGCACCATCTGCGATTCTGCCTGAATCTCTTCTATCGTCTCAAATCTCCTTACCTTTAGCTGAATTTTCATCTTTGGGAAGAGGAAACCTTAGAAAGGAAGTTGGGGTCGGTTCTTGCAAGATCTTGGAGCTCCTGACAAACGAGAAGTCGATTCTGCTTCTGGTCCTCAGACAGGAGCCTTGGCACAAACTTGGCCGAGATGCGTCGCATGTGGAGTTCTTCCTTTAGAATCAGCTAACAGGTCCCATAGCCTATCCCAACAATGTCGCACAAATCGTTGATGGTACGACGTCGATCTTCGTAACAGTTTCGGGCGTTGTGCTTTGTTCATGAAAATCCGCCATTCCGAAATCGCAGGAGGGTCGGTGTAATGCACTACCAAAACGCCCGTAACTAAGAAACAAATGCTAATTCGATGATGCCGGCTGGCAAACTGATTCACTATGAATGTAGGCCGCACCCCTTAGCGGCAGAAGCTCGTACTACATCCGGTTCGCCCTCTATTGACACAGTCTTGAAACTTTCCGATCGCACCTCGTAGGATCTAGTGTCGGATTCTCTGAGCACGACAATGGACCTTAGGGTTTATAAAATGCAGGAAGAGTCTTTCACATGTGACCGGACACTAACTTCTTAAGAACGTATCAGATTCGCAGTGATTATCGAACGATCGTCTGATTAAAAAGCTGACGAAGCCAATAAGAATATATTTTCTTGTTTGGGAAACAAGACGGAAGTAATATTTGTCAACCACGAAAATGTATCTGTAGAAGTCTGTGTGGGTTTCCATAGACGAGAAACTGGTCATTGTATCTTTTGTGGAGAAAATGTCACTACGGAGATACGGTTTAAATTAGTTTCAAATTTAATTTAAGCTTTCATATGAATCGTTTGATGTTTTGACAGTTACGAATAAGCAATACAGTTGAATCGACCATAAAACCCGCAAGCAATCACTGAAACAATATTTGCATTGAAACCAAAAGTAACGTTGAGTTATGCGGTGTGCCGCACTAGCAGGCTGTTGTCATTACATTCAGGCCTACCAACTTACCAGGACAACTGTCAGATCTGACAAACAAATAACGGGGCAAAAACTGGAAACACTGATTTGTTGGTGTTTGTTGTTAGGATTCAGTTTTAATTTTTGTTGAAGTGTGTTTTATTAGTGTTTGTTGTGATAAGTAAAAAAGTAAAGCTGTCCCACTGTACGCCATATAGGCGCTTGGGGGGAGAGGTAGTATAGCTCCTACTCATTATTGACGTGGGCAGGAGGAAGTAAACATTGAAGCCTCCAATTGAAAAGTTGAGATGGCATTGTGAAGTCACGTGAAAAGGCTGAAGGTTTCGAGAAACTACGAAAGCAGCTCTCGCCCTCCCCAGTGGCGCAATTGGTTAGCGCACGGTACTTATATGACAGTGTCCGAGCTATGCCGGGGTTGTGAGTTCGAGCCTCACCTGGGGAATAATTTTTTGTGAATTTCTTGCTACTTTTAGATATCTTGATATTAAAATTACAAATGTATTCGGGTCTTAAACTTATCGTTTAATGTTTTATTTAAAAAAATTTAAAGATTTTACTAAATAGTGTGGCTATGAAATCGAGTAGGCATGAAGTGTGCTTAGGGAAAATGAGATAGTGTACAACCAAGGAGTACATAAGAAGATAATATTAAAATGCATTTTAAAGAAATTTACTTGAATCATTTAACACGCGGCTGGACACGACATGACAGGACTCTAATGAACGCTAATATATCTTCGGATTCCATAAAGGACGTGGATTTTTTGAGTAAGTTAACGACTGTTGGTTTCTCAAGAAGTACTTTCTTCTCTGGAGTTATATAGTTATGTTTGATACAAAATAATATTATTGCTATTGTCCAAATTATATATTTGCTTCGGTTTGATGACGATTAAGGCACCTGGATGTATGAAATGTAGGTTGGTGAGGGCATATTACAGCCTTTACAAATTGTACATGACAGCTATATTTGGGCACATATTTAGACTAATTCCAAATACATTTATGCGTACATTTAATGCAGCTAGCTCAATTAGGTAGTGAATTAGTAGCTTGGGATGTATATTACCGTTTGCTGAATGAGTTTGCTCAATTCCCGGCGTTATGATGGTGTCATCTTACGTGCAGTCAGGAACTTGATAACACTGGATAAGGTAAATGGACGTAGTGTATCCATATGGCTTCTGAAGTAGGTAGTAAAAAATGTACTTTTATTAGCCTGCTTTCCTTATCAGCGTTTTTTGCATAAAATGAATGCATGCTGGGGTCTCTTGCTGTCCGACCGCGTCAGAATCGATGGACGATTTTGATTAAATTTTTATATTGATGTAATTCCTTTATAGATTAATCACACTCATAATTTTCTACCATCGGCAATAATCGATCCACGAACTTGTGAGGTGAGAGCGATTCCAGCGACACTTATTAAAATGCCCTGAATTATTTTACTGTAGCACGTCTTCGAAGAATGTGCACGTTTTGGTGAAATAATTAATTTAATTGCACGTGAAACAAGATGGTGACAGTACGAATCTATACTTTGGTTTCGGTTCCACAACAGTCAGAGTTTAACCAACTAGCTTTTACTACAATTTTTCAGTAAAACATAACTTGTATACTAGACAAACGCGTTTTGACCTTAAATAGATCATAATCAGCGTCCTATTCTAATGCACATGTCATAACAGTGTAAAATATATAACTGGTCAATCTTTTTCCTTTATAATGTTTGCCATGATTAATAAAAGTTACAGTTGTTAAAATATGTAAAGAAATAGAATATTTTGATATTTATAAATTTGTAGTAATTTCATGTTCGGGACTTTTATTAAAATTAGTCGACACATAGACACTTTATAAGAAGACCTACATGAGTTTCTATGATGGGGAATCCCACAGTGAGTCCCCAGCAACATAGGCACCCACGCTTAGTATAACCGTTCTGGAGATTTCGTCAGCATTTGACCTCTGCAAATGGCGGCAGTGACGTCACAATCGGGAATTACAAGTTATTACTTGGAATGACTGTATGTTTAGTTGATGGTATTATACTGGTATTTGCCTGGAGGGCCTGAGGTAAACCGCAATAGGCCTCAAGGTGGCCAGTCTCTGGGATCATATTTGAAACCTGGACCTCCCGAATACAAATCAGAAATGCTAACCATTCGACCGCGACGTTTAATAAACAATTTTTCTTTACGTGGAATGTGACAAATGGTCTTTCGCCATGTTCTGTTCTGCTCATTCAGAGAGCAGGGTTTTGTTCGTATAGAAACGAACATACGTGAGGTCTGAAACAATACGTAACTCGTTTTGAACTTGTATGAAATCAAAGCCCGGCCTTGCTAATTAACGACCACACTTCAAAAGAACACATAAGCGTATACCAGTGTATAAATTCTATAAATGCTTTGTGCAAACTGAACAGTGAATTCGGAAGAGGCAAATAGGCTTCGTTTACTGTTTTAGAAACATAAATAGCACTAAAATAGCACATGCTTTGCTTTAAATTAGAATACTCGGTCGTCATAACGCAATATAATTGGACAATGTACCGAAGGCCGGGAATTAACTGAAATTCGTGTGTAAATGAGTACAAACACAAAATGGCCGTTTTAACAATGTATTATTATTGTTCGTTTGTAATACATTTCTACGTTTTACGACTGTCTTTAGCTTATTAGTGGATTAAACTGCATTTTAATTATACTTTGCCTTCCGTGTAGTTTAAGACGGAGGAAATATTTTTTTGGAAAGAATTGCACAGAGAGGTTAGGACTCTTCGATACATGTTATTACGGTGATCAAACAGAGGAAGGTTAGATGGACGGGGCATGTAGCACGCATGCAGGAGACAGGAAATGTGTACAGAATTTTAGTGTGGATATATGAAAGGAAGAGAGTATTTGATAGACTTAAGAGTAGATGGAATGCTAATAAGATTGTTTGTAGAGAAATTGAATGTGGTGGTGTGGGCTGGATTAATCTGGCTCAGAATGGGGACCAGTGACGAACTCTTGTGAACAATAGGGTTCCAGGTTCCATAAAAGGTGGGGAAATTCTTGACTAGCTGAGTCACTGTTAGCTTTTTAAGAAGGACTTTGTTACATGGAGTTTATTTTAGAATTGTTAGTTAAGAATGGGAAATTTAAAACGCATTTTTTATACCTCTTGGAAAGCAGTATCTTGTTAAGTTGATGACTAGTTCATGGTTTATTTAACGACGCTGTATTAATTAAAGTAGTTATGATGGATGTAACGAGATGACTGTGTACAGTGAAGTAGAAAATGTCGTAATGGAAATGTCCCTGATATTGTTTGAAGACGACTTATCATACAATTGTTTAGGATCGCGGTACCATAATTTACTTTAACAGATTACAAAAGTCCCTGAAAACGTGAGTTAGGGTATTTCTGCTCTTTGACCAAGGTTCGAATCCAGTACTTCCTGAATCAAAGTCAGGCTTGTTCGTAGTCGAAGTTAGGTAAGAAGGTTTTCTGAAAACGGATGTTATGGGAACAAATTGTGATGGATTTAAGTGGGCTAAATTGACTTAGGATTGGGGAAAGTTGCATTGAACATCTCAATTTTATAACCAAATAGTTAAAATTTCAAACTGTGCTCGGAAGGACAATGAACCGTCACTTGGTTTTTCTAAATTTCAAAATATTAACAAACAAACAACAGATACGAACAATTTTGCAACATACCTGGCTGTTCGACGGATCTCACACGCCGTTCCAGTTTGGCAAATCGAATTTCCAATGATTCATCCTGGTTTGCTGCTTCATTAGCACTGGAATGCTTCGCAATGTCGTTCTTCATCTCTTGAAGGGCGTCACAAGCGCTCATGTGGCAGATTCCGGAACAAGGAAAACATTGTACGACAAGGATTAGGAACGCAACAGCGTAATGCATACTCCTGGACATTGTAGATTCGCTTGTCTTGTGTTGCTGACTGTTGCTAACTCTGCTTAAATTCCTTTCCATACTCATTTTTGTTCTGAAATCTGAGGGAATGGACCATTTATAACTAAAGTAGCTCTTGGAGCACAGTCCTGGTTGAGAACCTCAGATGGTTACAAGACTTTTTCATGGAAATAAAATGTGCAACCTTTCCTTGGTCCCTGTCTGATCCAAATCGATGCAATCCACAACAACAGTTAAGATTATAGTATTGTAAATTTTAATCTTCGCATTTTTAGATAGCAGACAGGAAGTCGAAAGATTCTGAAGCGCATGGCAGCAAGAATTCTTAGAACTTTAATATGCTGTTAATTTTGTCGTGAATGCGAATTTGATTTGTCGCCGCAGTTCCAAATATTTGATCTCTGCCACATTTGAGACAGATTTATTACCTAGCGTTATAGCAAAATGTTATCCTGTGTTTTGGCCATGTATCTCGGTGTCTTGGTTTAAGACTGGTACGTGGAATCTGACACGGATGAAGAAAGTATTTGAGAAATGAAAATGTTCTCTGTGTAGCGAGGATGAAGATGCTGTAGTTATATTATTAAAATATTACGAAACGAAGAAGTTGAGAGAGAAATTTTTTAACATAAAACGACTCATGCTTAAGGAAGGGATATTTTACAAGATAATAGAACACTTATTTTTCAGTGTTCTGTCTTACGACAGGTCCATTGCTCTGCCCAAAAAGAGCTCTCCAGTTTTCCCTATTAATAGAACACTATTACGATATAATATAAATACGAAATATAGAACTTTACTTATATAAAATCAAACACAAATGGGAGAATAAAATCAGGAATTTATCAATGATGATTGGAGGTTTTCATGGCGGTGAGGCACTCGTCGCCCTGATGATGAGACATCAAGGATTTTTTAAACGTCGGTAAATTTGTACCGGGCTACAAGGCACTATCCCCAGAAGACAGCCATCTTCAGGAATTTATCATCTAATTTTTGGGAGGGGGCAGTAGAACTGTAATGATAATACAGAAAATATACGACAGGAAATAGGACTATCAGATATATTTATATTGGAGCTGTAAACCGCAGACACCTGGTGTAAGCGGGTGCAGACTCTATAATACATATTTTAATATTTTAAAATAATATGACACAGCATTAATATTTTTGAAGAAACAGGCTTTTACATCACACCAGAGAGTCCATTGAACAGAACGCGTGCAGTGGTACATCCGATCGTATTTACTGCCTTATATTCCTTGTGACCATCTTGAACTGTCAGTTCGCCTTCTTCCAGTAGACTTGCCTAGCGTAATCCGAAGCATGGCTCTGCCGATGCCATCTTGCGCTGACTCTCTGGTATCAGTCAAAGAATGTCTGTCGTACCCTGGCCGTCGAGAGGAGTAAGCAACTAGCAACTTTCGCTCTCTAATTTAAATTTTTTAACACTACTTTCAGGAAGAACGTGAGAAAAAATCTTAGTTTAACAATCAAACGTAAATAAATCTTAGGAATTTTGTGGGTTGTCACGCCATTAAATTATTTCTTTTTCTATTATCTATCCTTACACTTAGATAATGAAAGAAGTGTTCCTCAGCGGCAAAAAAATCTCACCTTTGTTGCTGGGGTCGTAATGTGCCGATCCCTGCTTTAGACAAAACAGACCTGCTGTTTCGGACATGGACTAAAATACGTCAATTTTGATGTCAGGTAGATTTAAACACATTTTGACTAATTGCAATCTATGTGTGTTTCATATCATATGTCAGCCCGTTAATTAATTTTATTGATTTTGATAGGGCATTAAGTCTGCGAGGTTGGGCTTTTACGAGGCCCGGGAAAATGTACGGTGTTTTGTATTTTAGTAAATGAAAATTTGAATACAGTTCAGTTCAATTCTTATAGCTATCACAAATAAGTACAATGCGTTCACAGATAAAAGTCAAATGCAACTGTCACTTCCTGGCTTACAGTTGGAACTACATGACTCACCGCCAAGAGCTACAAGGTTTTCCCGTTCGAGTCAAGTGTCGCTCCATAAAAACTTTGAAATCAACTAAACCTTTCTGAGAAGTTCGGCCTAAAGTTGTAATTAATGTAATGGAGGAAGGCCTTCTTCAGGACCGTTAGTCACTGAGGTCAATAAATTTCCAGCCATCTGCGAAACCCCAATGTTCATTACCTTGTTCACATCTGTTCTGTATTCAGTGAGACGAGTTTAGTTATCCTGTAACGTTTCTTACTACCGCGATGTTTTATGTCATGGAATGTTTAACCACTTGCACAAATCCAAAGCTCGAGAACCACCCCTTTTCGGCTGGCCGTTATTGATTATTCAGTGTCTTTAGGCTGCACACGTTTTATTAATTTATACATTCAGTTTTGTTTTGCAGGATTTATTGTTTAATGAAGGATAAGAAGAAAGAGAATGGCCTATTGTCCATTGTTGATTTATTCATAATAATACTATGGAAAATTACAAGTAATATACTTAGTTTTTTAAAAGGGCTGATGATTCAACAGGCTCTGAGCTGCTTCTCACTAAAGCGTTGTTTACATTTCGAAGTCAGACGAAGTTCCATTACGATATTACGTCGTATAATTTATAATGGATTCTTTCGTAAACTGCGGGTCTGTGCTCTTGTCCTTATGTTTTCGCGGCTTTTACTTCAATTTTCAGGGGTGAGCCTTGTCAAATGTTGAATATTATCCGACGTTTTGATAAACATTGCATTTGCCATCTTTATTGTAAATGTGTAGCGATTGGGACATCTACTTCATGCCCAATATAAGACTTACAAAATTCGGTCAACCACTACACATTTACCCTGTTTACAATTTGCCCGGATAGACCGAAAAGTGTTACGTGTCTCCGAAACGTCTGTGATCACCAAAGAACCACAATCAGTATTTCTACGGACTTGAAAGGTTCAGGCATAATTTAGACAACTTTTATTCGATTTAAGAACTGAAGTCGGCCGGAGGCGTCCTTCGTGATTAAAAATTTCAGTCCCTGTTTGTTCGAAAAAAACAGGCCTGTGGTTCCAAGTCTATTGATTGCAAAGTTAGTCCACAAATACATTAAACTGAAATTCAATACACGTGTTTGCAGAAATAAATAAAATTTATGAACAGGAGTTTGGAGACAATTAAGAGCGAACGTTGAAGTGTATAAACAAGTGACAATCTCAAAGTTTAACAGTGTAATCTAAGTTAACCAGAGTAATAAATTGCCTAAGTTGAACAGAATAAACCCAATGCTTAAATGGAACAGTGTAGTAAATTGTCTAAGTTAAACAGTTTTCTGAGTTGGGAGTCATAAATCGACGACTCGCCGGGCTGTTGCAACCCTTTAGCTCATTATCCCATTCCCAAAATTTATTTAACAATATTTTTTTGCAAATAAAACGTTGACCACCACTATTTGAATTTCAATAACCGATGTGAGATGAAAATCCCAAAAGATTTTTTTTGATTTTATTTAACGAATACTCAGCTTCCGTCTTCGCTTTGCTGAGAGCTTAGTTCAATCCCAGGACAGTAGATGCGTAAATTACAACAGGACAATTTTCAGAGGGGAGAAACAGTCATATTCATACTCGTCGCTATGAGAACCTCAAATCTTACAATTAATTATTGCTCTTTTCTCATTGTGAGGTGTGCGTTAGGCGTGACCTGCCAGCATAATTTTTGTCCTCATTTAAAGTTCCTACTTTCCCCAACACTTGCCTTTTGGTTTTAATGAATTGAACATCAACAGACAAAAACTAGTGCTGCTCGTAATTAAAGATGTTTAGCACGAATACTGTGGAATATTTTAAGGGATTATTTATTGACCTCAAGTGAGATTCATGATGGACAGTTTTCTCCTCGCTAGTTATCATTACGCCATTGCTCCATAATAATCTATCACCGCCCCACTAGATGTGCGATATACCTGACCAAGCAGCACATTATCATACCTCGGTCCTGCGTTAGGGGCTTCGTTTCTGACCTGACCCTTGGCTGGTCACAGACAAAAGGTACTTGTCTAAAATTCTCCTATAAATCCATTTATCTTACGAATTGACTAACCGACTGAGTAACCAACCAAGAATAAAACAACTAATTAACACTGTGTTAGCAGAAACCGATGTTTAACACTACTAACAAAATCGAACTCACTAAAAACAATTTTAATGTTGCCCTCAAATCTCCTCAGTTTTGAAATTGTACGTTTTCCAAGAGGTTTCCCAACCAAAATTCTGAGTTAATTTCTGATCCTTATAATCACCTGCATGACGCATAGTGATCTTCCAGAATTTAGCATCTGTTCCGAAAATAATGCTAATATAGTGATATAAGGTGAGATTTCAGGTTCTGACGGCGACGAGTTTGAGGATGGCGGTCTACTAGGAGGCTTTGCCGCGTAGTCTGGTACATATTTACCGACACTACAGGGGTCCTTACTGCCTCCATTGTCAAGGCGAAAAGTACTTCTAAAACATCGGCCAATATCTAACAAACTACACGGCGAAGCCTCTTAGTAGACAGTCATCTTCCAGGTCTGTAACTTTGGTCTATTCTAAAAGCGGTTTACGATAAAAGTCTATTTGGTGTTATTCAAAACTCGGTATTGTGATAATTATATTCACATTGGCAAGAAAGTAACTGTAAAGAGCATACTGTCCGTTGGAATTCGAAAGTGGTAGTCGAGTCTCCTGGCAAAAAATCAATCGAACTGTAAGGATCCTCACAAGCGCTGGACATACGTCCAATAAATATTCATTTGCAATAGCGACAGCTCTCTCTGCCTTAAAATTTTCATGAATTCAAATTTTATATCGTAGTAATCTCTAGTTAATTTAAATAATCCTCGTTTATTGTGTTCATTGTAGCAGGGACACGTGTGTAAAAAGGGCTACTCAATAATTCGGAAACTAATTTTATTTAAATCCTTTAATGCATTGAAGCTTACACGCTGCTTAGAAGATATCGTAAATCTTTATACATCAGTCTTCTGGGTTGTTGCGCCGTGTAGAGGCAGAAGTTTACCGACGTTTCAGAGGTCCTTACTGCCTTAATCATTCCTTGATTATGGAGATAAGTACCTCTGAAACGTCGGTGATGTAGCAGACTGCACGGCGCAACAACCCTGAAGACAGTCATCTTCATAATTGCTGCCGTAAGAACATGAAATATCACCCAATATTGGCCTACTGTAAGGTTTTATCTTGAATAACTGAGGATATTCACGAATATTTTAAAGTTGTATTGAAAATGGGTAATTTCCAAGTACAAGTCAGGGGCTGGTAAACCTTTTTTTTTTTTTGACTTGACAATTTTAATCTCGCAACATCGGTACTTGGTAACCTGGGTAAAGTTTAATAGCAGGGACTGTAACATTTTTATGCTGTTAATGATTTATGAAACCTTACAGCTAAACATTTTTTTTACTCGTTTAAACATAGAAAGCGTAGTAAAAATTCTTAGGCTATTTTCAGACGTATTTACTTACTACTTTATTTATTGATCGCGCACCAGAATATCGCCATCTGAAAGCAGACGCTGAAATCTGTGTAGATTTATCCGAGCCTGTGTCTGAAGAAGGTTTAAAATTCACTCAAGTGTTTGCAAGGAACTGTTCACACTGGTATAACTTCTGCACCATGAAACACACAAAACTTCAGCGTCCTACAAATATATAAGCTTGTAAACAGGACTTATCGAAAATGTGACTGTAAATTCTGACCTAAACTGCAACCTCATCTCCACGAAGAATAAGAAGAGGGAGGCAGGTTGTGATTAACGGCTTCCTCATTAACTGTTATGATGCAATGTATGTACAGGATGTGTACTGCCCACCGCGAATTATACTTCGTATTACTTAGCGGGTTACCGGTCGGTTATTCGCGATTTGAACACTCTCTATATTATCAATAGTGATAATTATGGAGATGTATGATTTGAGGTTTTCACAGTGATGAGTATGAAGATTTCTGTCTTCTGGGTTGTTGCGCTGTGTAATCTGGTCGATGTTTACCAACGTTTCAGAGGTGATACTGCCTCCGTCATCAGGGCGATTCTTAGTATGAATATTTCTGACTTCTGGGTTGTTGCGCTGTGTAGTCTGGTCGATATTAACCAACGTTTCAGAGGTCATGCTGCCTCCATCATCAGGGCGATAACTATGAAGATTTCTGTCTTCTGGGTTGTTGCGCTGTGTAGTCTGGTCGATGTTTACCAACGTTTCAGAGGTCATACTGCCTCCGTCATCAGGGCGACGGAGGCAGTATGACCTCTGAAACGTTGGTAAACATCGACCAGGCTACACAGCGCAACAACCCAAAAGACAGAAATCTTTAATTATGGAGATGTTGCTATGTTGACATTACAGTGAAAAATTAATGTTTTTCCAGAGTTCTATGTAGTGCCTGTCCAAAGCAAAATGTAGATCACACTCCACACCCTGAAACCTGATTTCCTAAAGGTCATTTTTAATATTGTCCTCCCATCTTCGCCTAGGTTTAATAGAATGGTATCTTCCCTTCAGGCTGAAGATCGCCCTGATGACGGAGGCAGTATGACCTCTGAAACGTTGGTTAACATCGACCAGACTACACAGCGCAACAACCCATAAGACAGAAATCTTCATACTCACTGCTGTGAAAACCTCAAATCTTCCCTTGAAGCTCTTTATCAAAATTTTATATGTATTTGTAATCTTCCAACTGCGTGTTACGTGCCCCACAAATCTCATATTTTTTGAAGATTGGTGTCTTCTGGGTTGTTGCGCCGTGTAGTCTGGTAGATGTCCACTGACGTTTCAGAGGTCACGCTGCCTCCATCATCGCCTTGATGAACACAAACTTTTCTGAAGTACACAGTAGCAGTTATTTTATAAACTTGTGTCCGTGGTGAAGAAGTGTAACATGTAACTTAATAATAAAGAATTATGGAACATCCTGTGAAGAAGTATTCGCATGAGCGAACTAACGAACTTGAAGATGAAGTAGCGGGACTCGTCTTTGAGAGTCCACTGAAGTGTGCTCTGCTTTGAAAACGAAGCCGGATATTCTATGCAAATTCTAATTCTATAATAGTCAGGTTTAACGGAGTATCAGTGTTGATTTTGTTGTTTCTAGTCATTATAAAACGTGAAAAGTTTGTGGGCTAGCTACTTAGATTCAATTAAGAACAAGCTATAAGATAAGATTCCCGGAATGTGCCGATGGGATGTTCCATAACGTAGCTTGTATATCTGTAGGTCCGATGTTGATACAATTCTGTTCATTATATGTTAGCGTTTAAAATAAATAAGAAAGTAAACATCAGGTTGATTCTTACGTCTTACATTCTGTATTTCGTTTCTTTTGATAACTTAAATCGGAATAGAAACAACGAAAAATGTAAGATTTATTGTTTGAAGTTGCTAAATATAGAATTTTATAAAAGTAATTTCTTCTGGAACAGTCGTGGTTCCATGGAACGGACAGACCTGAGTTTCGCATAAGGCGTTCATAAGATGACTTGCCGTAACTTTTTTTTTTAGTGTTCTGTCTGACGACAGGTCCATATGAACAGGATCCTTCCATCCTTTTCTCGGACTGGGACCCTTTCATATACGTTCTTGGCAGATGATCCAGCAGTGTTTTGCCATTGCCTTCTTCTGTGTGTGAATGGAGTAATTGTTGGGATGCCACGGAGGAACCGGGGAAGCCCCCGGAGGAAAACTCCGTGTTGCCTAGACCACGGCCTTGCCCAACACAAGTTATAAATTCAGGCACCGCCGGGAATCGAACCCGAGACCCCAGGATTACAAGGCCAGCGTAACATACCGTAACATAATAGAGGTCAAGTAATAACTAACTCCGTGGCGCCGAATCCATCCTACGCTTGTCTATGCAAGAAATTTACCGCATTTTATAAGGATATATTATCGTGTTCACAAGAATTTGTCATAAGCCAGACAAGTCCACCTTAAGGTTTTAAGATTAATTTTAACATTATCCTCCAACATACGTTTTGGTATTCCAAGTGGTATCTGTCCTCAAGATTCTATATGCATTTAACATCTTCCATACGCGTTAGATGTCTGAAATATCTCATCTCTTTGATTTAATAATCCAATGATATGTAGTTAAGGGTAAAATAATGAAGTTTCTAATTATGTAATTTTCTATAAACCTTGATATTGCTGACAGCTTTTTAAGTCCAAATATTCACCTCAATGCTTTATTTTTAAAAAAAATCTCATAGAAATTCAAATGTAACGTATAACACACGGATATACGATTTATACATCAGAATCTGAAAATGTTACATCAGAGTGTCATGCCAGTTCTGACAACTTATTCGTTCATATTTCCCGCTAAGTTTTCATCTGGTACTCCTACTCCATACACATTAGGATCAAGAATTTCTTAACAATAATGTAGTCTACGCGTATAAAAATTGTCAGAGAAGTTTTCTACAGTAATAGCAATATTAAAAACTCTCAGACTTCACTGAATGATAAAGGCAAAAAATTTATAAAGGTGGTATAAAGAATTTATTGTAAAATGTGTTTATGATAAATGAAACTTCCCCTCATGTCAGGAATTTTAGTATAAAACACGAGAGAAACGAACAGAAAATAAATATAAGTAATAGTAAATACATTTTGGCTATTGGTAATTTTTTCCATTTTGGTCACCAGATTCTATCCAAACAAATGTAAGCTGTACCTCTTCAGAACAAGTTCCTTTTTTTATTCATTTGGGTAAGGTTGTATTTCCATCACCTGCGCAACTATTTAAGTACAAACAGCTAACAGTTCTCTGACGTAAGTTAACACTGAAATGTTTTGCTGTCATAAATAGAAATATGTCCATACTATGATTTATCTGTAGTCTGTGGCTCTTATTGAAATATAACCGACTACAAAATAGCAGGCACACCTTCATTAAAATTATATTGTCTCGCGTTAAACGGAATCAGAACGCAGTGTTATTATGGCAGATATTTATTTGCAAGTGTTTAAGCATTGTGTTTTCTCAGTCAACATTTTTAAAGTACTCTGTATTATTTTTATCATTCGTTTTATGACAGAAATTATGTGGCCCTGCGATTTCATTAGCCCTACTACCACTGCTTCTGCCAGAGTCACTTATCGGCTGGCGGTTTGAATTACCATAATTTCAGCTACGACACACACTTGGACGTTTCGGTATTATTTCAAATGTGAATGTGATTATTCATGTAACAGTAGCGTCTTATGATGGATCATTTAAAACATGTAAACTTGAAGTCTTTTTGTTTACCAACCCTTCAAAGGGCAAATAATATCGAAGAAATAGCAATAATTAGGTTCCTGCTAAAAACGCATTCCTTTTAAAAAGTTGTCTTTTAATAATGCTTATAGTAAGTTTTACTGCGTATTGTAAGATCTCAACTAAACCTATGAAACGCCAGTGTTACAGACGTTTAAAGCAGGCGGTACACATAATTACCACTGCCCTTATAAAGGGGTAAACAGTGGTATTATGCGAGAAAGAATTTTTAATGAACCGTTAAAGAATTTACATTTCTTGTGAAGATTCTGTCTCATCAAAAATGTCATTGTATATTTATTATTTAACTCTCCTCATTCTGATTGCTTGCAGTATTTAATAGGAATTGTGTGTGAAAGTGTTGGCCTGTATATAACAAACCATGCGAGATTCAACATCTGTCTATTATCGTACAAATGAAAGGCGATGAAAAAGTAATGAAAGACATCCAGCTTCAATTGTATAAAATAGGGGTAGCTACTGGTAGGTATAAGGAAATAAAAGAGAAACATACAAAGAGGGAGAACGTGATTTCTAGAAGGAATCGCTGGAAATATTTTAACTGATGGAAAGAGCTAGAAGCGTAAGATATAAACTCAAGACTGGTACGTACAACATTTTAATATAGAAAGGATGCTAAAGAACATTTTAAAACTGGAACGAAGACAATTGTCACTGAAATATTTTAAATGAAGCGATGTCGCCAGACTAGGAGATGTGACGATCGGGCCTGATTAAAGTGAAGATAGAAGGTCCAACCCTTGAGGCGTCAAGTTGAAGACTAAAGTTCTGAAAGTTCATGGCAGACTTTGTCTCAGAACTAAGAAACTTTTCTTGATGTCGTGGCAATGGTTCGTCCTCCAATGCTGACCTTCCTTTGGGAAGGAAACCACCATTAATGTTAAAATAAAAAATGTAATAACAATTTTGTTAGTGTGATAACAATTCACCGAAGATGGTAGCAATAAAACTCCCGAAACGTCGTGTATTATAAATTCCTCGCGTGTTGGACAATGCTACTAACCTAACCTTACACGGGATACTGTTTATGTTTAAGAGACTGTGTTATGCATGGCTGACCATGTTCACAGTAATGACGCTAGATGGCATAATGCACAAATGCTGCTACCATTATACAGCTTTTGGACGTACTTAAAATATTGATGACGAGAAATTGAAATTTCCGTATTGGTGATTTTTTTAGTTCTGATTTAAAAAGGGAGGGAAAGGTATGTGATGATATTCACAAACTACCTTGTACTGTGTCTGAAGATTGTACACCAGACACAACTCAGAATCCCTGGAAACAAAGTTAGAGGTATTCATACATAGTGAAACCTAAGAGTAGTAAATACTGAAAATATTTCCATTTTGCTCTGATGATGAAGGCAGCAAGGACCTCTGAAACGTCATTAAACTTTACCAGACTACACGGCGGAACAAGCCAGAAGACAGCCATCTTCAAACA